GATTGGCTTACTTCGCTTAGTATGACATTCTCCAACTCCATCCATTTACCTGCAAATACCATAATTTTATTCTCTTTTATTGCTAAGGAACATTCTATTGTGTATATATACTACAGTTTTCTTTATCCATTCATCTATTATAAACATTTAGGTTGCTTCCACAGTTTGGCTGTTGTGAATTTTGCTGCTATGAACATTGATGTGGCTGCGTCACTGTAGTATATTGATTTTAAGTCCTTCTGGTTTAGACCAAGGAGTGGGATAGCTGGGTCAAATGGTGGTTTTATTCCAAATTTTCTAAGGAATCTCCATACTGCTTTCCATATTGGCTGCATCAATTTGCAGTCCCACCAGCAATGTATGAGTGTACCTTGTCTCCTACATCCTCGAAAAAAAAAAAAAAGTGACATCTTTTGTCTTTTTGATGATAGCAATTTTTACTAGAGTAACATGGTATCTCACTGTAGTTTTGATTTACTTTTCTCATCTTCTCTGTATCATTCCAATTTGTCATTGACACTATACTAATATTTTGATCAATGACCAATTGCATATACAACAGTGGTCCCATATGATTATAAAGAAGCTGAAAAAAACTCTCACTAGTGACATTATAGCCATCTTAACATAATGTATAGTATAATGCATTATTTGCATGCTTGTGGAGATGCTTGTGTAAATAAACCTACTACTGCCAATTGTAAGAAAGTATAGTGCCTACAATTATACATAATAGAATAATTGTAAGAATAATAGTAAATGACTGTATTACTGGTTTAAGTATTTGTTTTATGTACAGAACATAATAGTTGATAAGTAACTATATTACTAATTTATATATTTAATATGCTTCTAATGTTATTTTAGAGTATACTCTTTATACTCATAAAAAATTTTATTGTAAAACAATGTTCCATGTTATTTCTGGCAGCAGCTTCATGTAGTACATACAGTTCATGCTTATTGTGTCCCTTTGTTGCGTCATTTTCTCTTGTGCCTGATTTTCTCTCATGTTGTTTTGTTTATTGTGACCCTAGGAACATTAGATTACAACACACACACACACACACACACACACACGTGCACGCACACTCATTTATACACATACCATGTAGTCTAGGTGTGTAGTGGGCTATATCATCTGGGTTTGTGTATACTTTGTGCACTTTATGATGTGCACATGACAAAAATCATCTGACAGTGCAGTTTTCAGAACATCCCTGTTGTTAAGCATTACATTACTGTATGGGCTGTGGAAATGAGTACCTATTGAAGTTTCAAGATACACATTTAACTTGGTGATGAATTTTCTGATATTGCTGAGCTTTCAATTTATAATATCATTCATTAACATCAAGAAATTTGAAGTTCACATTTCTGTGGTTTATGACATAACATACTGATAAAGTAAGTAAAAGACCATTTTTTAAGAAAATAATTTTTAGTTGTCAATGGACCTTTATTTAATTTATTTATATATGATGCTGAGAATACAACCCTTTGCCTCACACATGCTAGGTAAGTGCTGTACCACTGAGTCACCACCCCAGCCCCAAAAGACTATTCTTTATGTAGTATTCAGAGATTTTATGTTTCAATTTTGTGAGAATGTTTTTGACTATCCCAATCCTAGTTAGAATTTCAGGCCATGTTTTGAACAGGGTTTAAACTACTTAGATTTTTTGCAGGGGTAGAACAAGAGATGCTTTACCATTGAGCTACATTTCTAGCCATTTTTGATTGTATTTTGAGACAGGTTCTCACTTTATTCTCTGATTTTATTTTGGTATGTTGTATTATGTTCCATTAAGATCAAGATGAGGATGCTATTACTGCTGCAGTTTTTAGCCAATGTCCTAAAATAAAAGGAGGGGACATATATAGTGAAGGAGAAGACAAAATTATTATTAATTCCATTTAATATATTTGCTTATGTAGAAGATTCAAACAGAATAATAAGATAAAACTTATATACATAATGGCATATTACTCAGCAATAAAAGAATAAAATCATGGCATTTGCAGGTAAATGGTTGGTGTTGGAGAAGATAATGATAAGTGAGGTTATCCCAATATCAAAAAAACAAATGCCAATGTTTTCTCTGATATATGGAGGCTGATTCATAGTGGGGTAGGAAGGGGGAGCACGGGAGGATTAGATGAATTCTAGATATGGAAGAGGGGAGGGAAGGAAAGGGGGAGGGGGCAGGGGATTAGCAAGGATGGTGGAATGTGATAGACATCATTATCCAAAGTACATGTATGAAGTCATGAATTGGTGTGAACATACTTTATATACAACAAGAGATATGAAAAATTGTGCTGTATATGTGTAATAAGAATTGTAATGCATTCTTCTGTCATATATTTTTTAAAAATCAATTAAAATAAAAAATAAAAATCAGTTTCACAGAAAGTCTCGTGACACAGGCAAAATGCAGACAGCTTCTCAGCCAGAACGTAACACGAATGGGGGGGAAAAAAAAGGAGAGTTCTAGTGCTAGGCACAGTGGTGCATTTCTGTCATCTCAGTGGCTTAGGAGGCTGAGGCAGGAGGATTGTGAGTTAAAAAACCAGCCTCAGCAGAAGCGAGGCACTAAGCAAGTCAGTGAGACCCTATCTCTAAATAAAATACAAACTAGGGCTAGGGATGTGGCCCATTGGTTGAGTGCCCCTGAATTCAATCCCGGGTACCAAAAACAAACAAACAAACAAACAAAAAACCCCAACAACAACAACAAAAAAGGAGAGTTCTAAAAGATACCTTGGGGGCTTTAAGTGAGATATAAGACCACTACATAAAAATAAGTAACTTTCCATGTGTATTTCTGGCAATCTGGCAGGCTAGGTGTTTGGAGAAACTCTTCCTGTGATAATGTACCTTAAAATATTGGATGAAATATGAACAAAGTATTAGGAAAGGAAGTAGATTTCTCAGAAATAACAAGAAAATAGGAGTTCACTGGTATAGATATGATGTTTTCTCCAATGTCACTTGTAGAAGTTTCTGGCTATTTCTGAAAGAATCAACTTAAAAAGAATTAAAAAGACTTATGATTTCAGAAGATTCAGTCCATGGTCAGTTGGCTCCATTGCTTTTGGGCCTGTGGCAAGGCTGAATATCACATGTGGGGGAGCATGTGGAGGAGCAAAGCTGCTCAATAGTAAGAGAAAGAAGACGAGAGGAAGAGAATGGGGTCCCACAGTCCTCTTCAAGGGCAAATGACCTAAAGATCTCTTGGCCTACCTCTTAAAGTTTGCACCTCCCAATAACACCAAGCTGGGGACTAAATCTTTCACCACATGGACCTTTAAGGGACATTCCAAATCCAAAACATAATGGTGACTTAGGTTTAGATGTTATAGGTCCATGTATGAAGGAATGGAGACAGTGTTTGGTGCCTCAGGAGGGAAAAATATTCAATGGAGTATCACTACATGAAACCTGCTAACCCCCAAAGGATGGCATCCTTAGTAAGTGATCTGTGGATGAAATCTTCCCAACACTGGTGGTCATTGAAGATGTGGTTACATAGAAAATGTGCTGAAAGAAACTATTTTATAATAACCATTTGCTGACTATGTAAAAATATATTTTCTTTTGTGGTACTGGGTTCAATCCCAACCCTGTGGAGTGTTGGGAGAATTGATTAGATGTGTGTGTTTATATGTGTGTATATGCAAATATACACATACAAGAATATGCATACTGGATAAGCATATATATATATAATTTATGAATTTGTATATCCATATACATGAATATAATTGGTGAAAAATTACTTATTGAGGCTATTTTTTAAGAAACATGTTGAAATTGTAGATAAATTGTTTCTTAATGTAGCTAACTATATTCCAACTATTTTTAGATGTTGCATTTATCAAGAATATAAATTATGGGGCTGGGATTGTGGCTCTGTGGCAGAGTGCTCACCTAGCATGCATGAGGCATTGGGTTTGATCCTCAGCACCACATAAATGTAAAATAAAGATATTATGTCCACCTAAAACTAAAAAAATAAATATTTTTTAAAAAGAAGCTTATAAAAAAAGAATATAAATAGTATAATTGTTCTAATGTTTAAATGGTTACAAATTGAGGTTAATTAATTGTAAGTTAAATTACAGCAGTATAAGCAGCCTGTGTGTCCACAAGGGTGCATTGGAAGAGGGGAAATGTTAATCAGAGGGTACAAGTTTCATTTAGACAGGAGGGATAAGTTCTAATGATCATGGTGACTATTGTTAATAATACATTATTATATATTTCAAAATTGCTAAAGGAGTGAATTTCAATGTTCTTGCCATAAAGGAAGGAGATATATATATATATATATATATATATATAGAGAGAGAGAGAGAGAGAGAGAGAGAGAGTGTAATGGATATGTTAGTTATGTTGATATAACTATTATACAATGCATACATGCATATGTAATTATTTATCAATTAAAAATAATAAAATGTTTTAGAAAGATGAATAAAAGTCAGTGTGTGTTAGTCAGCTTTACTTTGCTGGGACGAAAATGCCTGACAAGAACAAAGAGGAAGAAAGATGTATTTTGGCTCATGATTTCAGAAGATTTAGTACATAGTTGGCTGACTCCAAGGTAGAAACATCATGCTAGAAGGGCATGGCAGAGGAAAGCTGCTTGACTCATAACAAGTGGGAATGATGGGGGAGGGGAGAAAGGAGCTAGGGACAGATATATTCTGAAGGCCATGCCCCTCAAGACCAGTGACCTACTTCTAGCTGTGCCCTACCTGCCTATTGTTTTCACATATTCCAGTAAGTCCATTCAAATTATTAATCCATCAAATGGATTAATCAATCCGCCAGTGAGGTCAGACCCCTCATAATCCAGTCTTTTCACTTTTGGATATTGCTGTATTGCCTCACACACTTGCTTTTCCAGGGACATTCCAGATTCAAACCATAGCAGTATGTTTATGTATAATGGTTTACCTTTCTAAAAGAGACATTTATTTTCTTATTTCAGACAACCTTATGAGGCCTCTTTTGAATTACGGTATTGCATGGTGAGCATATCTTTTTAATTTTGTATTACTTTGCAGACTAATATCCATTAATTTATAGAAATGACTTTTGTTTTTATATTACTGTTGCAGTATGTCTATGGGCTTCCTGGTTGAAGAAACTGCACCAGTAGTTTGGAGAGGCCTTATGGTAATGTCAGCCATTGAGAAACTGTTGAGACAGGTAAGAAAGTTGTATTAAATATCTTTTTATTATTGGAAAGGCTGTAGTTAACACATTTGCTGATTGGAGAGTTGTTAAAATCCTCAATCAAGTTTGAGATTTTTTCAAAGGAATCTAGTTGATATGCTGAATGTACAATGAATAATGTACATAATGAGTTATGTGGCACCAAGACCAAATTTCAGTGTTACATGATTTAGTCTTTCTCATTGCTTGTGAGTACTAAAACCCTGTGTCTTATTTTAGATTGTTTTGTTGATTGTTGAGTCTGTGATATGAAGAACAAATCTTTTTTTTTTGTTTGTTTGTTTTATAAGTAATCTGCCTCCTTTAGATTTATGGTTAATCTTATTGTGGTCACTATTGAGTTACAGGGGCAGTATAGAAATTTCTGAGATGTAGAAAAATTATATAAATTATGGTATTTGTGATTTTAAATTGCTTCATAAAAATGTAATTTTGCTTTACTTTGAGTATATGTAGTTATATAAATCTGTCCAATACTGTCTGTCCAATCAACTTTAATTTATTGGTAATAAATGAAGAGAAAGTTGGATTGAATAATCTAAGTATATAAGGGGAGCTTTGTCTAGATTAACCCAGCCTTTCTTTTCTCTACTGCTGAATACTGTCAGAGAATATAGAATAATTTTGTTAATTGCCTATTATGCATTTTTTCCCATTGGTACTGGGAATTGAACCCAGGCACACTTAACTACTGAGCTATATCCCCAGCCCCTTTTTATTTGTTTTATTTTGACATAGGATCTCTCTAAGTTGCTTAGGGTCTTGCTAAGTTGCTGAATCTGGTCTTGAACTTGCCATTCTCCTGCCTCAACCTCCAGAGTCACTGGAATCACAGGCATGTGCCATAGCACCCAGCTGCATTATACATTTTTTTTTTAATAGCTACACATGACATTACAATGATCTTGGCAATTCATACATTTGAATCATTGGGGTATAATCTCTCATTTTTCTAATTGTACAGATCATTATACATTTTTTATATCAAAATTTGTCTACTCTCAACACTTTGTTATCTAATTTTACTCATTGTTCTTAACATTTATCAAAAGTTCCATTTAAAAAAATATTAGAAAATTTGGTAACCTGGCTTAGGATCAAGTGGAGATTTGGTGAAAATGAGCTTTCTGACAAATTATATGAAAGTCAGTTTATTCTTATAAGCACCGAAGTTACATTTTTAGCAAACATACCACAGAAATATCAGGATAAAAGTTGAGATTGAGAAAATGAATTTATTTTATTATTTTATCGGGATGCCTAGGGGTTACCTGGAGTAGTGAATTATTGTATATCTACCTTACAATCTTTTGTAAAGTCATTTTCATCTGTGCATATTAATGGGAGCTGGAAAGCTATATTTTAGGACTACGTTCAGGCTAATGTCCATCATATAAGCTTCTAATTAAGGGTGTTTTTCCTTTTTATTTGTTTTATTTAGAAAAATTTTTGCTTTAGAAATCAGGCCAATGGCTGGATGGGGTGGCACATACCTGTAATCCTAGCAGCTTGGGAGGCTGATGCAGGATGATCATAAGTTCAAAGCCAGCCTGAACAATTTAGCAAGACCCTGTTTCAAAATAAAAAATAAAAAGGGCTGGAAGTATAATTCCGTGACAGAGTGACCCTGGGTTCAATCTGTATTACTGAAAATTAATTAAATAAGAAAACGATAGCATATTTATTGTTTTAATGCTTTTTATTTTTTCACTATAGATCTGAATTGTATTTGATATATTTTTTTTCTTTAACCTAAGAACTTCTCTTAGTGTTCTTTTGTGGTGTGGGTTTACTGGTGATAAATTTTCTGAACTTCAATGTACTGGAAACATCTTTATTTTTCCCTATATATTTTCACTGTATATAGAATTGAGTTGACATTTTTTTCTTCAACAATTTAAAGATATTCTTTTGTTTTTTGGCCTCATTTTCTGGCCTCATTATTTCTGATAAGAAATCTGCCATAATTTCTATAGTTGTTCCACTGTGAGTACTGTGTTTTTTCTCTGGTAACTTTCATAATTTCCTTTATAGCTTAAGGTCATTATATTCTTGCCTATCCCTTTAATATGGATGTTGTCATAGCTTGGTAGCTAAGGGTGTGGATTCTGGAGCCACATCTGCCTGAGTTCATTCCATTTTCCATATCTAATAGTTTTGTTGTCTCTAGAGTTCTAGACAAGAGGCCTGACTCTGGGGGTCCCAACAAATGAGATCTGGCCACTTGCCTCAAAAACAAAGCAGAAAAAGTAATGGCGAAGAGCAGGAAAGAAACTTTAATCCATGTGGTCATAATGAAAAGGAAAGGTGAGACAAGCATCTCAGTCTTATCTTTGAGGGTACTGACATGAGCTTCCAGATTATATAGACAAGGGAGACCAGAAATATACATAGCCAAGCATTCTTGGTTAAACTGTTAGTCTGGTTGATTTTGATATCAGTATTGGTCAGGTGGGGGTTTTGTGTAATAAGAAAGTTGCTGTTGTCTGGGGGATAGTGTCAATTCATCATAGATGTTTGTGATCAGACTTGTTATTCCTGAAATCCAATGTGACTCACAGCAAATGAGACAGATGCAAAATGTGGGCAGAAATGTCAAGTTTTTTATTATCCTGCTTTTAGTTGTCTATTGGATATTTATTTGCAGGCCTAAGAGTTTTAAGTCCTCATCGCAGTGTGATTTTGAGCAAAAACTTCTCTGAGCTTGTTTCCTCACTTGTAAAATCGGATTAATGGTAGCATCTTTGTCTTCAAGGTTAAATGAGTTAAAACATGTAATGTCCTTAGAAAATCTGTATCATATAAATGTGCTGTTATTATTGTATTTTATCAATCACAATATAATTTTCTTTTAATATTTTTATTTCTTTAATCAGGATATATCTTGTAACTTTTGGCTGTTTTAGGATTGCTTTATGCTTGGATCTAAGTGCAGTCATCTGGGAATACTTTCAATCTGAGGCACCTTTCAACTAAATTCTGTTAGAGGTTTTTGGGTCCACTTCAGTGGTATGAATTCAGATTGGAAAGCATTGTGGGTACCAACTTAGGGTTCATGTTCCTAAGGAGGTGCCCTGTCCCACTCTCCTGCCAAAGCCAAGGTTTATTGATGTTTATTCCCTCTAATTTCTTTCTAAATTTTGGATTTTTCATTTACTTTAGTTTAAAAGAATGTAGTCCTTTGGGATCTCCTGATAGATTCCAACTCATTTTAGGTGTTTTATTGTTCTTTAACTGTGCTATATACGATAATGATACATCTTACATTCAGTGGAGTATTAGGTTTGTGTTTGAAGCAATGTTTTTCCAACATATCTGTACAAGAGAATCATCTAGTGATCTTGAAAAACTTCAGGTCACACTCCAGTCCAATTAAATCATATGCTCTTGTAGTATGACCCAGGTATCAGCATTTTTGGAGTCTCCATCTGATTCTAATCTGTAAATAAGTGTGGGAATCTCTAGTTTGGAGAGTTTTACGAATGAAAATTCAGTGAGAATGTGGCTTGAGATAGGACATGGAGATAATAGCTATTATGTGACCATTTCTTAACTTTGGGTAGGAGAGAGAATGAAAAAGAAATTGGATTATGAGAGTTTAAGAATAAAATTAAAGCAAGACAATAAAGGGGGTGGTATCTTCTGCTTATTAGGTAAACAGCCATTATGGGGATTTGGGGAAATAGCTTATGGGGGAATGGTATGAAAAGAAAGCCTCCCCCATTCACAAAAGGGGACAGTCATATCTTTTCCAAGGTACTAGGATTCATTGAGCAGGGACTGAAGATTGTAGGAAATAATTGGATTATTGAAAAAAGAAATATTATGAAAGAGACAAAAGGCAATGAAGTTAGATATCATATGAATTATTTTTGAAAAGGAAGTCTATAGTTTCAAGTTCAAACTTCAAATGGAAAGGAGAGTAGATGAGGTAACCCTATCATATTTGTTGCTAAAAAAAGGTTAATAAAAGTTATTCTTTCCTTGGTCTTCTCAGTTGGAAGGAAAAGGACGTTGAATTTACTCAATAAAAAATGATTCACAAATTTCAGTGTTCATAAAATACCTGGAGAGCTAGGAGCTGGTGGAGAATTCAGATTTACAGTTTCCCTATTTAATTCTTCCACTTGAAGATTTTCATTTGGTAAATCCAAGGTATGGCCAAGGAATTTGCAGCTTTATTTCAGTTATCCCAGGTGACTAACCCAGTTCTGAAATTGCGTTTAGGGATACAATGATACATGCTTTATAATTCTTTCAGAGGAATAAATTAAAAGATGAATGATAGGATTTCTGTGCAGTAGAAAAAGCCCACTGGGTGCTAAATATCAAAGCTTTTAGTTTTACCAAGTTTTTATGACTGTCTTCAGTAACTCTCTAAAGCCTGAAAGTTAACGTGGGCAAACCTACTGTTAGATCTAGGATTAGTAACTGGCATGGCAGAAAGTTCAAAAGGGGAACGTATCCAGGGAATAAATTGAGGGAAACATTGAAATGAAATCCTGTTTTCCAGGAAGATATGTAGTCAGGAGGGATCAGGAGACTGGGAAAAATTGAAGGCATCAACTAATTGAAAATCTCCTGTGATGGGGAAGAAGTGATTCAGTGGCTATGAGAGAAGCCATGTGAGAAGTGAAGTTAAGAAATGGTTGTCTTCATAAAAGGAAAGACATTTAAGAAGTTAGGCATTTTTTTTTAATAAACAGAATTTTAAAATAAGGTTATATGTGAAAAAAGTCAGGTCTCTAATAAAGTGAGAAAGTATCAGGGATCGAGGTATCTTACAATAGGGTTACCAAATAACATGTGGGATACTCAGCTAAATTTGAGTATCAGATATACAATGAATAATTTGGGGCATACTCAAATGAAAAAAAATGTTTCTGATATTCAAGTTTAACTGAGTTTTCTGTATTTTTATTTGCTAAATCTGGCAATCCTCAGTGGAAATAATATTTATAAAACAAAGAAGA